GAAGCCAAGATGACCAAACTAAGGCTGTCATACTTTGGACACATCATGGGAAGGGAGGACTCTTTGGGAAGAAGAACAATAATACTTGGAAACGTGGAGGAAAGTAGAGAGAGGAAGGCCACATGCTAGATGAATTGACTCTATTAAGGAGATCACGGGTATGGGATTGCAGGAATTAAGGAGAGCAGTAGAGGACAGAGGGTCTTGGAGATGTCTCATCCATAGTCGAGATCAACTCAAGGGCAGTTAACAGTTTGTTGCTTTATGTTCACTGTGGCTATGGGGTTACTCATGAGTTGCACCTTGGTTTCTTTTCTGAGGGTGGAAGTTAATTATTTCCTTCCTTTTCTTTCTCTTTCTTTATTTTATGAGGTCTAAAAATGAGGGATAGCAATTAAAGAGAAAAGGACTAATATTGAAGCAAATGTGGATTACAATTCATTTAGTCCACAACTGCAAGTTACAGAATCCTCTCTGCAATGGCCCTGAAAACTGGTACATTACAACTTACATATAAGTGTAGCTGTTTACTTTAGTGACTTCCATTGGTTGTAGATAATGGCAACAGATTAGGCTGACCATATATATAATTTTAAACAGGACAGTACCATTTTGTTCCTATTTCCAGACCATCTTGTCATTTTAATATAAATGTCCATTTTGGCCCATTTTCAAGAAAAATGCCCTGTTATGTTGCAAAAATAGTTTGAAGATCCCTGTTTGAAATTGTGGTTGTCAAAAAAAATGTGTCATGGAGTGTGAGATGTTTTATGATAAGGCAGGGGTAGGCAACCTTTCCCCTTTAAGGGCCGAGGGACTTCAGCTCCCAGAATCCCAGGAGCTATTGGCCAACATGGGACTATTGGCCAACATGGCTGAGGCTTCTGGGAGCTGAAGTCCCTCGGCCCTTAAAGGGGAAAGGTTGCCTACCCCTGTGATAAGGTGTTGACAGACTAAAATTGGCTGTGTAAGATTACTTCATTGGAGATATATTAATGATACGGTCATAGTGAAATACAGTCCCCCTCTATGTCTACCTAAGGTTTTGTATGAGTTCTGTTACTGAAGAATAACTGTTCAATATATTCATGTAATAAAACTTTTGTTATCGTCTTACTTTTTCATGAACACAAATCATTACATAACCCCATCCCGTTTTTGCCATCCCAATGGACGTTTTCACACAGGCGGCTCTAAAGCCGCCTGGAAGCCCCCTGGAAGCCATCAGGAGTCATTCCGGCGGTGAAAACAGCAGCCACCGGAATGACTCCTGATTGCCTCCGGCAGAAGCGCCTGTAATTCCTTTTTAAAAAAAGGAATTAAAAAGATGGAGCTAAAGCCGGCTAGCGGCAGGGATGGCGCAGGGATTGCGCAAGATGGGGCGGGGCTTGCTGCGACGTCGTATGAACATGACGAGCAAGACCTCGGAGTGAGGCAGGGATGGCGCAGGGATGGCGAAGGATGAGGAGGGGCTTGCTGTGACGTCGTGTGAACTTTTCCTGCACGGAGCCGGAGTGGGGCCGGATGGAGGTAGGAATGACTCCCTTTTTTGCCCCGTGTGAAAACGTCCAATGTCTCGTTTTTGTCCCACGGAAATATGGTCAATCTACAACAAATCCATGTGCCTTTGAACAATGAATTTTTTAAAAACAAAAAATCAGTTCTGTTCCTATGTATGTATGTGTGTGCTTTCAAGTCGCCTGTCAACATTTTGCAACACCATGAATTTCATAAGTTTTTGTTAGGCAAGGAATGGTTTTCCAGTTCCTTCCTCTGAAATATAGCCTACAGGACCTGATATTAGTTGGCAGTCTCCCATCTAAGTACTAACCAGGGCTGACCCTGCTTAACAATCAAGATCAGATGAGATCTGGTGCCTTTAGGCCCTTCTTGTTCCTATACCTTTGAAAAACAAAAGACCAATGGCCTGTCCACATCTGTACATATAGCACAGAGAGACATCTAGTGGGATAACTAACGTACAGCAAATAGATTTAACTCCTACTACAAAATGCTTCCCACTAGTATCTCCTTCCTAGGATGTTGCCAAGATACATCTGTTTGGAACTTGGAACACACCAATAGGGTTTCACAATCATCTTTTTAAGCCAACAACAAAAACCAAAAAAGAAATGCAAATAAATAACTTTTTCTTACATTCCAAGTCAGTTTGTCTCAGAGCAATCTAAACTCCCTTTTAAAGAACAATGTATGTTTTTATCTTTAGCCAAAATCAGCCCATTCAATCACAGTAACTATCACAGCAAGAACTTTAAATGCAAAGATTCGATTTGATTTGTGTGCTGCAGGCTGGATCACTTGAATTAGTCTCTGATGGTGCTCTGCAAACTTTTTCTAGTCCAGCACAACTAAATAACCATACTTTGCTATAAACATTGCAAAATTACATGCTAGAAAAGCAGTGGGTGAATTCCTTCTCAAGAGGTAGGGATGGAATGCAGCTGCCTTATTTCAGACATTGCTCTGCTACAAAATTTGTGGCAATAAACTCTCACCTGTGCTCCTTGCCACTGATTAATCAGGATACAATTATCTTTATTATACCATTTTTAATCTTTCCCCCAAGAGCTCTGTCTTCCTATGGGGGTAAAATCATAAATTCTTGCAATCTGGCCCTGTTTTATTTAAGTTTTGCTGAATCCTAAGAACAAGCTTTCATCCATTAAGAGAGTCTTTTTATAGCTTTTAGAACTCCAAGATTTTGAGATTCATCTACATTATAGAAATAATGCATTTTAACATCACTTTAGTTTTGTAGCCCCATCCTACAGAATTCTGGGACTGGTATTTTTAAAGGTCTTTAGCCTTCTCTGCCAAACAGTGAGGTTGCCTCACAAAACTGTAAATCCCAGGATTCTGTAGGGTGGAGCCATGGCAATTTAAATGGTGTCAAACTGCATTATTTCTGCAGTGTAGATGCAACCTTGGATTTACACAAGTTCCAGCCGCTACTACCAGTGCTAAGGGATTATGGTTGTTCTTGCGTGCCTTTGAGACATTTCCAACTTATGGCAACCTTATCTTGGGATTTTCTTGGCTAGTTCTGTTCAAAGGAGGTTTGTCATTGCCATGGCCATGAGGCTGCGAGAGTGTGACTTGCCCAAGGTCACCCAGTAGATTTCATGGCTGAGCTGGGAACTGAACCCTGGTCTCCAGAGTCATAGTCCAATGCTTAAACCACTATGCCATGCTGGCTCCAGAGTCAGGTGTTCTGCACCTGTTACCGGCATGAAAATAAACTTGTATTGTCTCCACAAAATGGAGACAGTTTACTTTCTTTCCAGGCCAGTATAAATTAAGACTGAGACAGTCCACTCTTTCTGGCACTTCACAGACTACCCCTAATCCTGATTTCTTCCCATCAGTGAGCTGGATTAGCAGCAGGAAATTATGGCAAGAGGAAAGGAAGAAAGAACTTCTTGACTCTACCCTCTAGCACTTCACAGTGTCATTACTAAGGTCACCAGGTATCTTTTATTATAAGAGGTATCCTTTATTTGAGGGCCAGAAAATTTATCCATCATAGGGCTAGCATCCCTTATTATAAAACATGTCCTCTTGCTATGGGTTGGGGGGTGGGGGAAATTCTTACGAAGACGGAACAAGACATCAAGTATTCTTGTATTTTGGGGGGTAGGCCCTTTGTAAAGATAAGATGTCTGCATCATGTAATGTGTAGATGTGGATAACACATTAATTTTATGGGGAAATGTTGTTGTTGTTGTGTGCCTTCAAGTAGTTTCTGACGCATGGTAATCCTAAAGTGAACCTATCACAGATTTTCTGGGACTAGGATTGTGTGTGAACATATCATGGTTTTTTCTTGGCAGGTTTTGTTCAGAAGGGTTTTGCTTTTGCCTTCCCCTGAGGCCGAGAGAGTTTGACTTGCCCAGGGTCACCTAGTCAGTTTCCATGGCCAAGCAGGAATTCAAACCCTGGTCTCCAGAGTCATACTTCAATCCTCAAAACCACTGCACCACGCTGGCTCTCAGCCATAGTCCTTAAAAGGTTGATTACAGTAATAAAACAAAAGATACTGATTCCCAAATTCAGTAAAAACCAGAGAGAGAATCAAAGAAATAAAAGAAATATTTATAGAACAGAACAATTAAAGGACAATAACAATAGCATTTTTAAAGACATATGAATTTATACACTTTCCTGTGATATTTTAATTTTAAAATTTGTTGCAAGAAAGTATCCTGAAATAAATCAGTTTTTAAATCAGTGAAGTTCCATATAACTTACTGGAAAGGGGATTCCACAATCTGGGGGCCACCACTGGAAAAGCTAGTCTATTCTGCTTGCTATCCAAACAGATCTTACCGACAAGCCTACTAACAAAGCTTCTGAAGAAAATCTTAATGACCAGGTATGTTCATACACGTATAGGAATGCAAACTGTCAGATAACTGATCTTAAATAATTAAGGGATTTAAGAACCCAAATCAGCACTTTGAATCACTTTGAAGCCAAGGAACACACTGACAAACAGTACAACGGATACAGAATTATATTCACATGTTTCATTTGCCCAGCCACCACCAAGATCCCAATGGCCACATTTTAGATGGTATTCAGGCAATATGTACTGCATGGCTTTAGCCTTGTGTATAGTGAATTACATTATTCTAATCTGGGATATTGTAGACTGCCAGAGTGGTATAATGGTTTAAGTGTTGGACTATGACTCTGGAGGCCAGGGTTCAAATCCCTGCTCAGTTATGGAAACCCACTGGGGAGCAAGTCACACACTCTCAGCCTCAGGGAATGGCAATGGAAAACCCCCTCTGAAGAAACATGCCAAGAAAACCCCATGGTAGGTTTGCCTTAGGGTCTCCATAAGTCAGAAATGACTTGAAGGTAAACAACAACAACACATCTGGATATTATCCATCTCTCTAGCTCAGGGGTAGGAAATTATAGCAGGTCTGGGGTTCTGTTTTCTTCCCTGTAACCCTCTGAGGCTCACACAGACTGCCCTAAGTGGGGGGGAAAAATAATAAAACTGGAAATGGATGTAAATCCACATGTTTAAATAAATTATTTCCTTTTTTTACATAAATCAATGCACAGGTATACTACAAGCTATTTAAAAGGCAAATCATTGCTCCTGGCTGCTTTTTTTTCTTTTGCAAAAAAAAAAAAAAGTCAGTCTGCATAGTCTGAGAGAAGGATTCCAGGGGCCCAAACTGCTGTATGTGTTGCATATCGGGGATGGAAAGGATATTTACTATTACTCATTCTCAGATCAAAAAATGGAAGAACAATAGAACATCAACAATTTTGCACAATTTTGTCCCAAAATATTACACAGGAATTATTTGGCAAAGAAAAAACACATGGATCTTTCAGCACACATACAAACAAGCATTACAAGAAACCTGTGTTCTGCACAGAAAACAGTTTTTGCACACAAAAAAACCCACATGATTATCTGCAAAATAATTCCTGCACAACATTTCAGGAATGTCAAATACAGGAAGAATACTGTGGAGGAATATTCATTTTCTCCTGCAGTGAGAAGAAAACTACTTGAATTACTCATGCTTGCAAGTAAGGATGAAATAGTTAAGTATTTACATCACTAATTCATGCAGCACCAGGGCTGCACTTCACCTGCCACCAATACCAGCTGTGCCTCCATAGACATGCCCAAGGGCAGGAGAATCCCTACTCCATCCCATGAAACTATGCACTTGTTCCATCAGGGAGAGTGGAGCCCCATCCAAAGAGAGTAGATTTCATTCATCCAGACTGCTTATATTGTCCAAATTAAGCTTCAGGTTGTTTACCCCCATCTATCCCAAAACCATCTTCAGACACCAGTTCAGAGTTTCTACTGCCATCCTGAGATCTATAAATGGAAGTGAAACCTAAGTGTTGCCTTCATATTAGCGGGACCATATGCTAAAACTTTCAAAGGCAGCACTCAGCAGTTCCACATAGAACTACCTAGTATGTAGGACAAGATAGAACTTTGAGACACTCTATAAATTTTACAATACCCAAAGGATGTAATAGAAATTAACTTTCTGAGAATGATTTACTAGAAAGTAGGAGCTTGGTAATGTAAAGCCAACTAATTGCAGCAGGCCTCTGAGCACTCTGCACTCTCCTCTTCAAGGCTTCTGCCAAAACTGTTAGCCACCTTAAATGGATCCTCTGGTTGACATTGTGTAGACATATTGCTGATGACAAAGTACTGGATAGCTTTGCCACCAATACCAATATCACAAACATCTCTATATAAATGGGCTCTTATTTGTGCTTGGTTCTGTTCACAGTGAAATTTCCATCTACACTGAAGCCACCAATCCAACTATTTAATTGCCTTCAGATAATACCATCATCACTACCGGAGTTCATCAGAGGGCATTTAAAAGTAATTGTAGTCAACTCTCTATTCCAGGCAAAGGCAAAGGCCTAGGCAGGAGTGCCACTTAAAACTGAAGAAACTGTTCAAGAAACATTAGAAAAACCCTTTTGATTCATCAGACTCTGGGGGTAGACCCTTAAATTTGATCCTCCAGATGTGTTATGGCTACAGTTAGCCTGAAGAACTTGATCAGGTTGTTACTCTTGACCTATCCAGGACATTAGAGTCACAAAAGGCTCTCCTGCTTGCAGGTCATCCTACTCTGTTCCTGAACAAAACACTAGCCACATGTGTCAGGGCCAAAATCAACTGAGACAGGCCTGTGATTGTCATAGGAGCCATAAAATACCAAGCTGCACAAACAAGGCAGCCACCACATGGATATTTATGTCGTCCATGACCATCATCCATGAGGTTGTCAACACAACAGCCAAGATTACATCTATCATGATACCCTGGTGTGAATGTTTTGGGGAAAGATAACACTACCTTCTTTGTTCATTCATCCATAATGAGATATTTAAAAGTGGATGCTTTCCTATTGATTGACCAGGCATTCATTAGCAACACCTTTAGAGGCTCAAGGAGACTGAAGCCCAGCAACTGGCACCACTGTAACTGGGAGGCTGGGTAGAAGTGGAAGCAGAGCAGAGATGTCTCTTTCTTCCTCACCCATCAGCACCATAACACTGGACA